AAAAAAAAAAAAAAAACACAAACACACACACACAAAACAGAACTCAGGTGCTCAAGTAATGGGGCAGAAGTCTGTAGGTACCACTGCTCCTGGAACATGAACCATGCTAAGATCCTCGGGGGAAAGGCAGTCTATAAATAAGAAGCTTTACGGTTACCCTTAGTTACTTCACTTTTTCAGAGCATAATGCAATCTGTCTCACGTCCAATGTTTTATTTCTGTAGTGGATTCTGCTGTCCTATTTTATATATTGTATATCATGCATTATGTTGCTCTAGTAATCTTTTTAAGATGTTGTTCCACTATTATTTTTACTTGTCTTGAAAAATGTAAATGGGCAATCATGGGCAGGAAAGGCTGCTGGTAGAATCCTGATTCAATTTGCCCAGCAGAAAGTGACCTGAGACTGTCTACTGACCATGGATCCAAACTCCTAGAGCAGAGGAAAAAAGATCCATTCGGCAAATCGTGAATTTTTATCAATGTATTCACCTCACCTCATTATGCAAACAAAGTGTTCTTGGAAAAGTGCAGGACAGTTTGGGGCTACCACTGGAAGTAGAGAAAGGGTAGAGAGGATGCCAAAAACCAATGTTTTGGAGATGAAACGTGAACAGGTCTGTCATGATAAGGCATACGAATTCAAATTACTCACATAGTTAAGAGAATCCAGAGGATCACTGCGTTTTTTTTTTTTTTTTCTTTCCTTTCCGCCTCATGAATGTAAAATGTGCTTGTAATCTTAATACTCTCCCAGATAGAGCAGCCTTTAAATTCACACTTCACAAGGCTCCAGGGAAAATAAGTTCCTAATGAATGGTATTTACAGTGGCGGCATCTAAGCGTGCGCTCATTTGCTTTTCTAAAGTTACTGTGTAAACTACAAGTAATTAACAGAAACTCAGAAAGTAGTTCCTCCTAGTAAAGTTGGTTCGGGCTAAAAATAAATAAATATAATTACTGAAAAGCTAAGTTCAGTGAATTTGCCCCTGAAAGGAAACCGCGTTAATGGTGTATCATCTAATGTCGGGAGCTGTGAGCCTGTCCTGATTACGGAGGTTGCAGGTTAGGAGCTCAGTAAACATTTGTGCAGTGAGTAGTGACAACGGGGTGTCTGTCCTGGTCTCCTCTGCACTGCACTCTGTTCGTGTAACGTCAAGTATCTCAACAATTTTTCATTCTCTCCCCTTCTCCCTCAAGGAGCCTTTTTCACACTCTCGTTCTCAGCAAATGGTTGCATCTGTGTATTACGGCCTTCTGGAGGGGCACAACACATCGGGGTGATAAAGCCCCACTGGATTATATATGTCCAATCTATCTAGAGAAAATGTCTTGAAAGTTAGCAAGGCTCCCCTGGCGCGTCTTCTAGAACAGTCGAGGGAGGGTCAAACTCAACCTGGACCACCGAGAAACGCCACAGAGAGAAGGCTGGGCAGCCTTGGCTACTCGTATCTGGGGGCGTGGGGGGGTAAACTCATTCCTGGCCAACGCCAGTGTCTTCATCCCCCGGTAATGCTGGTTATGTAATGAGTGCTTGGTTTGTCAGTAGGAAACAAACATTCCGTGTGCTTATTATGTAATGTTGAGCAATCTGCTGGAAACGTAAAGAGTTTTCCCCAACACCTCTCTAGTTCAAACAGAAACCGTGTACTTGTACCAAGTGAACCAAACCTGGATCTCTTCCCCTGCCCCCGCGATGGACTAAAGATGCGGAAATAGACTTGAGAAGAAGAAATAAAAAGCTCTGCTTTCTCTTTAAACCCGTGAACAATAGAAGGTCATGTGATCCAGTGGCCTATCATCCAGCACATTAATAGCTGTGCTAGAGTAATTACACTTGTGGTATTTTTGCCTCAAGTGAAATTCTGAAATAAGAGGATGGAAATTATGATACTGCTGATAAATATTAATAAGTGAACTTTTAATTTTTTTGCCACAATATTCAAAATGCTAAGCATCCTGCTAATGCTGAAACAGCCCAATGTGTTTGCCTCCAGGGAGTACGATGCTTTGTGCACTTAAGAAAAAAGTTTAACGGAATTAAAATTTAATATCTAATTAAAGCGAGGCTAATATATTTTGAAATGAGTGGGGGAGACACGGGCCTCTGCCGCATATTCGGGACGACCATTAATCTTACCTGTAAAGCTGCATTGAGAGGTGTGCAGTAGGCGTGGCTGCTTTGCATGTTTTTAATAAGGGAAGGGTTACTGCATAAGAAAAAGATAAAAACTCAAAGTTAAACGCAATCCTCCCCTGAGTTCCTAGCTAAGTTTGATCTTAGGCTTGCTGGTATCCTGATTTCTAAATCAGAAATTTCCCCCATTAACAAAACCCAAGAAAAGGTAGGTCTTGTCCCCAGCCCCCCGGGCTTTAGTATGGGGCCGGTGTATGTGAACACCTCTGGATAGGACCTCGCGCTTCCCGGAACCTGGGTGCACGATTCTGGTTTAAGTCAGACCAGCCCCTCCGCTGGTGAATTTTTTTCTCACCAAATATGGACCGCTCTCTACCAAGTTTTAGTAGCTGCCATGAGTGCCAAAGGAAGGCAGAAGCTCTGGGGCATCTGGCTAGGGGAGGCCAGTGAGCTGGGAGTTGGGGAGAAGAATCTTGACTCTCAATCCTCTCCATGGCTTGAACGCCAGATCGACCACAGGAGGAAGGGCATGATCTCCCTCCCAGGCACATTTAGTGCTAAACGAAGATGGACAGAAGGACAGGGAAGGATTATTCCTAAGTAAGGACAGAGGCTGGGACGAAATCTTTCTTGATACGTCACGCCGAGAGGCCATTGGAAAAAAATCTCTAGCTGAGTATCAGGACACGCTGAAGGGAAAGTGTGGCTTCCAGTAGGAAGTCACCCAGATTTATGACTGGCCTTTAAAGCAAGTGTATTTGCTGTTATTGATTTCTAATGATTCATTTCACTTCAGTTACATTATTACACTGAATGAGCAAGTAACAAGAAATTTACCCAGTTAAAGACATATTTGAACTCTAAATAAAAGCTGCCTTTTTCTACTTGGAGGAATGCCTTTCACGCCACAGTATTTGGGTTTAAAGGGTCCCCGTAAGCTGCTGAATCAAAATACAACCAATATTTGTTTGCATTAAAGACGTCAAAAAAGCATTATTCAAGGCACTGGTGTTCCAAAGAGAAACAAGAGAAATACATGTACAAATCACACAATTTAGTTCCATTGCAGAAAGCCGTGGCACCGCTACTTGGTGAAATGCAAAACTACATGGGATGAGTCAACCATGCAAAGCCAAAGCAACAGCAGAAAAAAAAAACAAAAGCAAGTAAAGGCTCTTACTGTGCGACAAGCTCGTCAAAGTTTTCATCGGGGCAGTATTTGCGAGGACGGCCTCGTTGAATATGGCGGCCACGTTTAAACTCTTCATCATCAACTGTCCAAAAGGACCCAAACTCATCCTCTACTCTGATAAAGCACTTATGCAGTGAGAGGTTGGTGCGAATGGCACCCTGGGATAGGAGCAGCAGCAAAGGAGATGAAGTGGCAACAAAAGGAGACGGGGTTGGGGGGGCAGAACAGACATCCAATACAGGGAACAGGAAAAAGAAAATAAAATGCAATAAGCATAAGCCAATGGTTTGTGAGGGTTAATATGCATTGCCACCTAAAAGCTACTAGCGTGTGATGTAACAAAGACCGGCAAGCAGGGCGGGGGGACTGGTGGGTATACAAAACAGGAGGGATGAAATGCTTTTTTGCTTCCCTTAATTGAGACAACGTGGAACCAGTTCTTTGGTCTAACACCATCTAGCAGCCAAAAGCCTCTACTTTGCACTTGTTAGCACAATCCGAGCTAGGCTAAGAAGTTCAAACATGGTGGACGTACCCACTGATCTTTTGTGGCCTTCGTTTTTGGAATTCTACTTCATCCACTGTCCATACTGCCCCTTTAACGTTTTCTACTCGCACAAAACACTTGTGAAGACTAAGATTATGACGCACTGCATTCTGCAGCAAGTATAAAAGAGAGAACATTTACATTTTCTATAAGAAAAGACTCCAAAAACAGCAGTACATTCAGCCTCACAGTCCGCATTTGTAAAACCGTCCCCAAGACCTGTAGCTACCACCCCCGTGGACGACCTTCTTGTGGTGAAGGATGCCTTTTCCAAAAGGAGAAAGAAAA